TGTTATTGCGACCCTGACTTGGAGTTGGCCGAGCTGCTGTTTCACTAGGTGTATTTCCATAGATAGCGGTATACTGCTTACTCCATCTTTCTGGCCTTTCTCCGTAGTGAATCTCTAATCAATGCCTTTTTCCATGCCTCCTCGCCTTGATCTAGGAGACCTAGACATTGTTATACTTTGTATCATCCTTGTATAAGTTGAACGATCTTTGGATCTTCAGAGAGAGACTCTTGCAGGCGAAGATCTCTCAATCATCTTTCTGCCACATCATTCTGATATCTTCCTTTGGAAAGCGATAGCTCTCTATAATCTCAGAGTCCCTGACGGAGCTATCTATACAATGTCAGACCATCCAAGGTCTCTATCGTATTGATGTCCATGTCAGATTGACTGCTCCCAGATCATGAATAGAATGGCGAGCACCCGAAGATGTTTGGAATATTAGTACAGAACGCCTTCGACACTGCCAAGTAAACGATGTTTTCTACTCGCTGACTGGTACCTCAAGCGAGAGCACCGATTATGTGTTGCTTTTTGCCGTCATGTCCCCCCTCCCCGATCAATACTTGGCACGTAGCTGAACAAAATCCAAGAACACATTAAATGGCTTGCTGGCGCTCTTGGTACTCCTATGATTATCATTCTACACTCTGGAATAGCATAAATAGTGGCACGATCTAGCAATCGACTCATGTTCGTGGTTCTGTAAGTTTGACGTATCATCGCGTAGCAGGTCTTACGTTACAATGAGAATACAACTAATTACATAACTGTCGTCTCATTCGCGACCATAAAGTATGCGGACACATCCGCTGATTTTTCATTTTCCTCCTATGACCTGATTCTATTTCGTCCCAAAATAAACCCTTTAGATCAGGTACCAATTTACCAACAATGGACTACCTCGTGTCGGAAGAGGAGGCAATAGACGACATGGACTTCTGTCCGCTCCCCAAATTGCCAGATGAGCATCATCTTGTGGAGCGGAATCATGTCAGCCAACTCACATTGCCATCCCGTGCGCCCGTCACAGGGCTACAGAATATAAAAAATTCTCGCAATCCCAAGGAAAGGGCACGGAATGCCCAGCGAAACTTTCGACAGAGGCAAAAAAAGGAAAGAATCCGGGAGCAGGAAACGATTGAAGAACAAACCAGGGAACTTGAGAAGCAACGGCATGTTAGAAGAGACTTGGAGGACCAAGTCCGGCGACTGAACGCCGAGATCGAGCAGCTCAGGTTTAGAGCAGAAAAGTGGGAGGAGAACTCCAAGGTTCTGCAAGGAAGCGTGGGAGCTTTACAAAAGAGTCTCGATCTTCTTCATCGAGGGTCTAGTGCCCTATACTGTGACGCCAGGCAACCAACCGCAGAAAGCATGAGGATTCCTCCCAGTCCCTCCTCCAGTCAATCCAACCCCGGAAACCACGTCCCTCCCCGCAACTTCTCCCACCTTCAGAAATTTCTCAGTAAGTTGCGCCTATGTGATCCATACTACATAATATCATCTTGACCGTAATAGGAGAAAGAAAATTGGGGCCGATGATATCGCCCATCTCACCCATGCGTCTCCCCCCGGCCCCTCCTCGTCCCTAGTTTGTTCCTAGTCAACTCCTAGTCAAGATGGACAAGGAAGAGCCAGAGCGAAGATGATGGAGAAATCGGCCGGAACATTGCTCGATCCGGTGGTGAGTTCATAGAGATGGGTCATCTGGCGACAAGGGGGAATAGCAGTCAAGCAATGATACGTGATGTCAATGAATACACGAGAATCTTTGAATAGAGCGATCTTCAATTGTTTGAAAAAAAAAATAAGCTTTAGCAGAGCTATGTCCCCCTGACATTTCTTGGGTGGCAAACCAGTCCACTTGAATGAACCAGCCCTAGGCATTATTCTAGATAGACCTCCGTCGTCTTCTTTTACCACGCTGTTCACCAAGGTGGTACGGGATTAGGGTGAGTACATTCCGAGCGTGTTTGTCATTCTGGAGGCACGTGTCAGCAAATGTTCGGCTCACTGAGTGGCACGGCATTCATTGCATACACTGTAGATTCTTTGGGGGGTTTGCAGACTTTTGTGCGACGTCCAATCACGGACCAGAGTATTGTTGAAATAGATCTTCCAGCGTGCCATGCCTGCCTTTGCTTTTCCGTTTGTTTCCATCTCAATGCCTATTATGACTTAAATACACTTGGATTCCTGGTTTCTGGATTTTAGTCTAAATCAGTCCCAAGGCCCACTATCCTGTGGGCGGTTAAAATTAGAAATCTTGGTCTTGAGACCACCCAGGTCGTGGGACTTGAGAAATATTGGTCTTGAGACTAGAAATATTGGTATTGGGACCACCTAGGTCGTAGGACTAGAAATCTTGGTCTTGAGACCGTCTAGGTCGTGGGACTTTAATGGATTCCTTGCATAGATTTTTTTGCATGGATTTTTTTTGCATAGATTTAGCACGCTTTGGATCCTTGAAGAAGTCGACACACGTGATATTACCAGCCCTAACCGGCAGTTGCTTGATGAACCCGACTCAGAGAAATAGACATCACAGCAGTAACAAGACCTCTTGGATGCAATGTAGCTAGTTAATCATCAAAAAAGGGTACCAGCGTCTATTTCCTGCTCGCTTGCGCAATTGTCAGGATTTGACTGCCTGACTATGGAGTCTACAATTTAAATATTCAGTCACTGCTCTATCTGATGAGTGCTACATGCAGATGAAATGCGGTAAAGGTTCAACAAAAACTTGAGCTAAATGTGCGACGGGCAGTATACAGTATACACAAACACACAATGTGGGCCGGCGTGAACCCGCCTCTATATGCTTGGCAATACCTTTATATGTACAAAAAATGATGCTTATTTAATTGCAGGGTGTGACAGGAAAGATGGGGCGCGGGGAGCCGTTTCGGTCCGCTATTGGAACCGAAGTGATAATATGCCCTCCAGTATCCTGTGACAAGCGCGACCTTGTTGGAGTAGCGATGAATAAAATTGCCTCTGGGTCTCATTTCTTCGCGGAAGGGGCGGCATGATATTTGGCGCGGCTGGTTTCCTCGTTTTGTTATAGTGACGTTGCATATCACTGGGACCTTTGCGGTCCTCTTGTTTGATATTTGCGTAATGGGGTATAAATTGTTCTTTGCTTGATGAGAACATTCGAACCCTTTGGGTCTCACGGTCCCGAACGAAAAGAAATGTATCTTGATTGCAAAGTATACTCAACTCGTGTATCTTTTTCATCACACCATCATGTCTTTTCTTAAATGTGACAGTTCTGTCTCTGGCATTGATAATATGGATGATCTTACGAGGGACTTTCCCCATTCTGGTCAGTGTGGTAATCATTCTTTTGGGCAGAGAAATTGGTCTATATACGAAACGTTGTCGCAGTTGGCCCTTGTGTTTAATATAGAAACATCTATTTCGGGCTACAGGGCCGGCTTGCTTCTGGGTAGCGACATGCCTCCCTTCGTTCTTCTTTTTTAAGATATTTGTCACGATCACCTTACGCCAGTCTGTCCGCACGTCGTCACTCGTAAGATAAGACAAGCCACGTAAGCTGATTTCATGATTGTGGAGGAGTTCATCTTTATCAGTTGTGCAAGCATCGGGGCAAGGCGATCGGACATTTCAGAGTCCCGCTACCCCAATTTGAGATTTGGTCCTCTAAGATACAGGACTGGTCAGCTATTGGGCTGGCTAACCGTGATGTCTTCCTGCGATAGCTGGCCTACACATTGCATACAGTATCCCACTTCTTGGGTAACTATATCATATCTCCTATTGTCCAGGACTCGAACATCTTTTCATTATAGTGATGATTGGTAGTATGGCCTTACTACCAACCGGGCTTGCGAACTCGGCTGAATATAAGTGAGAATGTTGACTTAAGACCGGACTAGCCGCCAGAGAACGTTATTCGCTTTATCAGGATGGATATGCGAAAACCATGATGCAGACAGTTTGTCTCTCTTGAATATGAAAAGCCTCCTTGAGAACTAACTTCAAAATCCGATACAATGGACAATGGATGTTTCCTTAAATGCTACATCGAATCTGGAAAGATCTACCAAAAGCTCTAACTTAATATCATATTTCCGCAACCCCCTTGTAGCTCGCTTGGGCAGAGTAATCGTCTCTCATAGTCATAGAATCGGGGGTCCTATTGAAGTCCACTGGCAGATCCAGAACTTTCTATCATCGGAACTTTTAGGCCTTTCAGGTGGCGAGTGGTCGAAAAGAGAAAAAAAAAAAAAAAGTGATTTTTTGGCCTTGGTTCAATATTTACTGCCAAAAGTAACCAGCTAACTCCCTTACTCCAAAATCCATATCAGAGTTTTGAGCATGATACAAAAATCATAACGTTGGAAGGCAGTTGGATATCCGTGTGCTTTTCGTCGTACCGACGGGCATACAGTAGGACTAGCGATCCCATGTGGAATTCGGAGTATGTGTGTATTCATGGGGCTTTGCATTTCTTCTTTTCACCAGCGTTTTTGTTTTCTGATAATAAAAATCCCCGAATCATGGTGGCTTTTTAGCTAATTACTCCGTTTTTTTTTTTTTTTTTTTTCCCGCTTTCTTTCTTTTTTTCACTCACCCGTATGTCGCAATCTATTGGTGGTTCTTGAAAAGTCAGCTTTTCCTTTTCTTCTCTTTTCTCATGGCTCTCTGATGTCATTTGACTCATAGAACGGATCTTTGAGTCTTTTCCCCTCACTTTCAAAACAGCAACTATGTATAAAAAAGGGCACGGGGCTCGCTCCTGTTACAATGTACTTTCTAGCTTTCTCTGAAAAGACAGAAGACAGACATGCCTTTACTGATGGGCGATTTGCCCTATGTAGACCAACGGCGCCTCATTGCTATGATCGGCTCCTCGAAGGAATTTCTTCACTGTGAGTTGTAACCACATCCTAAGCACCTTCACGTCGTCTAATGCCATCAAGTTACCACACGAACTCACACAAACGAATCGGATGCATTGATCCTTTCTCTCTATGTCGTATTTGCGGTCTATCATTGTTTCAATGGAGGAAAGGTCTATCGACGGCCTCACAAAGGTATGACTGGCGAATATTCTGGAATGGTGCGAGCTAATATAACGTAGCCCTGCGACCACACATAGTCTCCGGTACGCTGGAGCTAATTATGTACTACAGCGATTTGCAATGCTCATTGGCAGCCGTTGTCGCGTGTCTTGTGCATTCTGTCACATCTTTGATATTGGTCGACAAGCTGCCGAATGGACATCCCCAGTATACCCGTGAGACCTCACCAGGAGCAACCCTCTCCTACTTGCAACGTGGACGCTCACGCAGTAACAGGACCTTCATATCAAGCTGGCTCGTACATGCGAATTGCACTCATAGTGCGAGCCTATCTCAGCGAAGGCCCGATGGACTACCATGATGCTATGATGCCTCTTCACGGATTCATCTATACGCGGGTCATCCTTTTCATTATCGGCATCATGGGAACTTCTGATCATCTGAAAGATAATATCAATGACCCCATGGCCTACACTTTGGCTGTGTTCGGGGCTGCAACCATCTCTGTCAGTCACATCAGCAGTCCTTGGGCAATTGTGTGGTACCTAGGAACGTTCACCTTGATCGGGATCAAAAATCGCTGGAGCTCGAAGCTGTATGTCTTTGCCTACCGCCTTTATTCCATTGCTAATAGAATGTGAAAGATCCAGGGAAAGGCAGCTCATCAAGTCTGGGCCAGCCCAGGTTCAGGCTAGCTTCTTTACAGAGAAGCCTTCTGAAATTGGTGACCTTCCTGCAGACCAGCTTGGACATCTAGTGATGAAGTTGCTTGACGTACTCTATCAGAGTCTGATGGGACAGATTTGGTAAGGTCGCCGAGAAGCAATGTACAAATCGCTGATGTCTGGCTCACTGGCTACAAGATGGCTTCAATCATCTGTATCTCATTAGGTGCTGATTGACGCAAAAGGCGTCAAGATATAACGATGATCTACAGCAGGCACATTACTGTATCTTTATCCTGCAGTTAGGTCTATACAAACATCCTGCTTTACCTTTCGAATAGGCACTCGTTGTCAGCGTTCAGGGAACATATTACACCAGATATCTCTTGTATTTAAAATTACGAATCTGTACAGACACCTCTATGTTGCACCGGAGCATACGGGGGCTAATTTGGCCCGGAATTCATGATTGGTTTCTTATCTGACGTCAGCTCAATGTTTTCGGAGATTGTCTCGACATCTTCATTTTGGAAGGGGCTCAAGACTTTCAACTCACAAAGCCCGAGGCGCGATCAGAGAGGCCTTGCGATGCTGGATTTCTCATTACCAGACAGCGTAATACCTCGCTAGTGGTTCGCTTCATCCATACCCCCGAGCAAGTCTGGTTAGTACGTTTCAGGCCTTTCTTGGGGACGAGATTTCGTTATAGCTTCAGGCACAAGCAAGCTGTCACCCGACACTCTGGTCACTGAACGAAATTGATAATCTAGTCTGTCATTCCACGCCTGCCAGCTATCTTTGCAAATGCAGGGCAACTTATAGCGTACTATTGTTTACTAAGCCTTAATCGTTTGTCTGCTTTTTAAGTTCATACGAATCACGGATGCTCGAAAGATGAATAATTTGACGTTATGGAAGGGCTAGTCACAGACTTATAGGCAGTAAGCTAGCCGCTGACTTGAGACTGCATCACGAGCCAACCACATCAACTTTACGGGCGAACACGAAAGATCACATGGATATAGAATGTATTGTTGGCCAAAAAATCGTGGTGTGAGATTCCATCTTGCAGGGGGCCCTCAAAACAACACTACCGGAGAGATACGTATGAGCGTTCTCCCGAAAAGCATCGACTTGTCCCCAGTCGATATGAATAGTGTAGCGCGCAGAACCCAGTCATATGAAGCTCCATTGACTTCATCCATAAGACTTCTAGCTGCTGCCTTATGTATTCAGAATGTGTCATCTACGCTGAGACAACCAAAACATCTGGACCCTCCCTTTTGACGAACAAAGATGCCGTTGATGTGGACACAATAGTATATTGCGTTGCTTAGGGAAAGGTGTCCAGTATGATACCCTCAAGTCTTCTGTAGGAGCCAGGAGCAGCCGATGGTAAGTTTCGGGGCCAAGCTGAGCAATCGAAGTCAATTGATGTGTCTTGAGTTCATATACTGTACTATAATCCAATATAGGCTAAAGCCAAGTAGACAGCCTTTCTTTGCCTGGAACATGATTGTGGAGCATCATACTAGCCACACAACTAGATTATTTATGAAGCGTCATTTTTGAGCCATTGCATTTATCTACATACATGTCCACCATAACAACGCATTCAGCCATCATCCGCTGAGGTCAAGCAGGAAACATGTTCAGATTATATCCCTTCCTATTGCCGAAAACAGACAGCTTCCTATGCTCGCTCATATCTTGAGAGGCTGAGAACAAGCCCGTGATATTTGGATGAGACGATCAAAGTGATTAGAGAGATAATACGGCCCTAGAGAAAAAGAGGAGCAAGCCAGGCTCTACTATTCGACCACAGGGGTCATAACAGCCACCACGGTTTCCGGGACATGCTACTGTACCTTTTCTACCATACCTTTTCCTACAGGTGAGGCTCTTTATTGTAGCATCAGAGCCAAGCGGACAGTTCTCACACCATGGCATATTTTCAACCACTGTCCTCCACTCATCTATTTTCTATTACAACCTCTTGATCAGTCTTGAGTGACTAAAAGTTCTCAGTACTTCCTCCTACATTTTAACCGATCCAAGCCAAAAGACCCAGCTCCTTCGACCGCCGCCCGAATCGAGCCCCGAACAAGCGACTCGGACAAGCGTCTCGAACAATCACTGATTGAGAGTGGTTCTGAGTCACCTCCTCTCGGAAATACGACATTTAAGCCTCGTCGAGTACTTTGCTATCCGGTACAGTAGCCTGTGGATCTACCACGCTCCAAGCCAGGCAACAATCATCAACACAGAAATAATTACGTCATAGCGCCAATAGGTCCGACTAGCCTGCTTAGACTTAGGCGACGTCCGAAGCAGGCGTAGTAATATATCAAATATAGTAAAACGAAGTGTGTCCTTGTCGCGTCCTTTTTCATATTTCTGCGTAGCTCTGTTGATCTCTGTGGTGAAATCTTTTATTTGCTGTGAAGGTTTCAGTTTGGAGGAAGTTAGCGATTTCAAACATTGTACATCATCGGGTTCGTAAGAAATATATTGAAAAAGTGCATTCGCAATGTTGATAAGATCTTTTTCCTGTGAATTGATTAAAAAAACGACACCCTTTCCATTCCCAGTAAGCTCCATCCATTCGGTCCCCCTCTCACTATCAACTTTGCGGACTAGTGCATGTACGTAGGCAGTACACTTGCAACACGGTCTTGGGTCTTGAATATGTGTGATCTGACTTTCGTTCATAAAGGTCATTGCCAGGCATGTTAGATATACAAAGAAAAGAAAATCAAAATTGCCAAGGCGGACTGTTGTTCCTTTTATAACCGTCTAGGTATCATCCTGATATAGCCTCATAATTTGACTTATTTATACACCATTGTCTTTAACCATTACTAGATAAATTCAACCGCTTAACAATGATGGAAGGCTAAATAGAATCAAGACCCACTTAGATATACTTCAACCCCCCCCCCCCCAAATTCCGAATCCATTTCACTCTCTCAAAAGAGCGAAAGCTTTGAATTAGAGTCTCGATGCTAACACTATCATCCAGATTCATAAAGGAGTCGTCAAGATCAGAATCAACATTGTCGATTTCGAGCTCATCAATATCGCGGTCGAATAAGCTATCAACTGGGATGGGTGCTTGTCGAAGCTTTGCGTCAGCGTAACTGTCTTCTCTGGACTTACGTAGGAGTTCAACATTCGCTGCAAACGTTCGGAGATGCGACACGAGGGTTGGCTCTACAGTTTTCCATATTCGGGAGCAAGCGTCGCGTTTCGTCGGCACAGCATTGGCGTGCTTTTGAAAAAGCGCTGGCAGCTGGCACCATGGAACGAATAACCCCAGTAAGATCTCCGCCAAGTCATTCATGTTTGCGGCCGTCTTGCAATGGCCCCCGGGAACGGCGTCCTCTGAGGCTTGGAATTCAGTTATCTGTCCGTTAAAGGTGACGGTGGCGACCTGAGATGAGGTGCGAGCCAGACGTTGCACATGGGTATTGCTTTGAGGGTGCGACGAGTCAAAGTCAACATCGTCTGCGATCGCATCTCGTACATTCGTAATCCGTACTAGCATACAGTACTCGAAGAGTGTCAGACACGCAAGCTGCTGCCCACGCAATTTATAGTTGTCAAAGACGCTGACAGGGGCAGTGGCGCCGGCTTCATAGGTGCATGGTCCTTCAGCTATAGGGTCAGAAGATTCGCCGACGTCAATGCTGACAGGTTGGATTAGGTCACGTATATATCGCCTTAGCCACCACAGATTGATGCGGATGAAGTTATAGCTGACCGTGTAGTGAGTTGGCAGGTTGAGCAAGGTACTTGCCACCTGGACGCCACTGACTTCCCGATCGTGTGAGAGGGTATTGAAGCAGCGTAGCGCAAAATTGTCCAAGCCCTTCTCTCGAAGTCTCAGGTCGGTTCTGGTTGGTAATTCAGAAGTCTCTGCCCTTTCAATGCGCTGTTTCAACAAGGCAGCTTTTGCCACCATCTGCCACGGGGAGACGTCGTCTTTTGTGGCATAATTGGTGATGTAGTAAAGCAGAGACAAGGATTTGGAGACTGTGGGAATCCAAGAGACATCATGATTAGAACGAAGGCAGCTAGCAATGGCGGGGTTCCAGGGGTTAGTCCACGCATGATTCCGAGCGAGGTGAATCAAGCCAAACTCGTCCACTTTGGAGACGGGAAGTAGATCACGGGGCATGCCGAAACGACAAGTCTCTTTACCTGAGCCTCGTTGTCGATATTTGAAGCAGGTCGAAAGATGATGTCTGGAATGCATCTGTGTTCTGCGCGCCACAGCGTTGCTGTCGTACGACAAGCCCAGAAAGAACTCGGCGTCGGTTTCTCGCTCCTTGGCAGAAGGTGGCGTGCTAGGAAGGCTTACCTCTGGATTATATGGAACGTCCTCATCGATGCCTTCCACGATGGTCGCCTCAAGGTAGCGAATCATACGAGCAGCGAACTCGCTATCTTTGAGAAGGCGGTCCCGTAAAGAGGTAAAGGCAAGGTTGCCTCTGACCCAGAGGAGCGCATGCATATGTAGCATCCCTCGACCATTGGTTTCCACAACCCCATAATGATTCGAAAGATTTCCAAGGACTCCGACGTGGTTGCAGTTAGTGGCCAGGAGGCCACGCAGGATCGCTTGGCAGACACAATGAAAGAAATCAGCAACAGCAACCGGGTTGGAGGTAGCTACAGCGTCACGGATCGCGGCATTTGCAGCGCTGACATTATCTCCCGGGACATCCACACCAGCGAGCATGAGAACTAGAGGATTTCGCAAGTCCGAGGGGTTAATTGTGATCCAAAAGGCGGGCATTCCATATCGGACAATTAACCCCCGAATCTCAGACCGCATCCTCAGCTTTTGCGAGAATGATCCAGGAACATGCATGCCAATGGTTACAATGTGTTGTTGAAGCCGTCGAATGACAGGGTCTTCGACGGTCTGGCCAGCCTTTATCTCTTGGGCGGCATTTTGAAGTTGGGCCACCGTCAAAGAAGCGATGTCGTGTGCCGCCGATCTCCAATAGCGTCGTTTTACCAGAAATGCGTTGCCAAGTGACGATCTTCGGAGCTGCAAGATATCAAATAATAGGTACATAAAAGTTTTGTGGCGGGCGAACCTATAGGCGTCAGCGAGGTCGAACAATACTTCATATCATTCGTTTACCTTCTGCTGTGGTGACTCAAAGCCCATTCAGCAAGAGCACTCAGGGACACTGGGATATTGCGCTCGTCTAGGTGGCCTCCGACTCCCATTGGAAATAAGGTGGGAAACGCAGCAGTAAAATAATAAGGATCTGACCAATGATTCATCAATGCAACTTGGCCATGAGTCCTGTAAGAGACTACTGGGATTCTTTGACCGGCTGTAGGGCATTCCTGTACAGGATTGGGCCTTTCCAAATCTTGTTCGGATGGATGGGATCCGCTGCCAACCACATTAAGTAAGGTGTGCAACATGCGCAAGTCAGAGTTCTGGCGCTCTCCATTGATGTCAGTAGAAACGGAACCAGTCAGGAAGAGGCCACAGTCGTTGGAATCAACACTTTCATTTTGTGCTGCTTGGAGATCATTCTCGTAGTTACCCTGTGCTAGGTCAACCGTGTACCCTTCACGTTCCTGATGGTCGGACTTGTCAAGGTGGATAATATTATCCTGCAGCTCCGGTGGGATGAACTCATCACTCCAGTTGTCTATCATCGATTGATTAATGGTCAATGTCTGATACAGATGATTGTGTCGAACGAGATATTGCAACGCAGCGAGAACTTTGACTCTACGTATAACAAGAAATGGACTTAGGTCCTCATACGTTGGTGGTCGATCACCTAACCAGAAAACCTTGATCAGGCTATCCAATCTCAACTGTGGGCTTGGCAGAATTTGAAGCAGCGGACCCGGGTCCTGTGGAATGACAATAAAATGACCTCGCAGCGCACGATGGCTGATAGAAGATCGCCGGCCCCCTGGACGCAATTTTACAATGACTCCCAGAGGGTGGCATCTTGCAATGACGCACTCCTCAGTCAGAGTGAGGTCGTCTAGTACAGACGGGTAGTCCTGGCAGAGAGTCACGTTGACGAGATTCTTTGCAGAGAACTTAGGGGTAACCCCTCGAATAAGGGCTTTGTGGCAGGATAAGCACACATTCCAGGTGCGCTCACGCTGACCACAGCGATCGAGAGCACTCCCGAGAGGTAAGAGCAAAGGATCACCATCATCAACAGGAACAATATCAGCATCTGGTACGAGCTTACCACAAGAAGCACACACCGATCTTTTCGAAGCATTTGAGGTCATTTCTTCATAACTGGAAATCGACTTTCGTATGACAGAAGGTGTAATTTCTGGCAGGAAAGATTGAGTAGCGGCTGCATGACGTTCGTATTCATTATGCAAAAAGCCAAGTGCCTTATCCAAACTGTCATTGGGTGCTTGTGGATCTAAGATCCTTTGCCTTTTCGCACGGGGTTGTGGAAGCGGGTGAAGGCGGCGTGTCACGTTCGCGCTTGATGAAACATGCCGGGGAAATCCGTCCCTCGCGGTATCAGAAGGCCCTGGAGAGACCATTTCGGTAGCGGTAGCGGATACCAAGAGACCGCGATATTTCTGGCGACAGCTCTGGCGACAGGTATCGCACGTTTTATACCGCGGAGATTGCCACGGGCGATAGCATTGAGAGCAGAGAGCACGCCGAGAAGAGGAGGCTAGACCAACAGAATGTCCGATAGATTGTATAGACGTGGAGCCCGGTGCCTTAGCGACTGCAAGTGGATGACGACGGCGCCAGTGATGATGGCCCTTCTGGCGGCAGGCGTCGCACGTTTTATATAGCAGCGGCTGCCAAGGTCGTTTGCATGAGGAGCATTGATAGCTCTGCTCCAAAGATAAGGCCATAAGAGCGGAGCGAGTCGGGAATGGAAGGAGAGAATTGTATAGGGGGGGGGGGTTAGGTAACCTTGCCGTGTATGGCAGGCGGGGCATCAGGGCATATGAGAATGAAGAATAACAAAGACGTGGCGGTATACAATGGAGACGGTAATTTTTACAGAGCACAGATAGTAAAACGAGTAACATATTTGGATACGGAAATTCTTGAAAGGCAGCAGTGAACGTGGAAGGCCCAAAGTTGTAGAATAAAAGCATAGAAGTAAAAGAAAGTGCTGGAGGCACGCGAAAGTATTGGTGTAGATTAGGGCTACGTAGGCGAGGCGGAATGACAGGCGAATAGCAAGAAGAGAGCAGCAGACAGTCTGAATGTCGAGGAAGCAGCACTGGCATAGGCATATTATTATGATAGCGGACTGAAAGGGTATACGGCATAAGATACAGGGATTGCCATTTTCCTCTGCACTCCTGTATCTTCTATACTTTTTTCCCCTGCTTAGCCAAAATTACTGATGATAAAGACACGGTATGTCCAGCATATATGAGCACGCCGATACAATTGAACACTAACACAGTGGTCCGTCATACCAGAGCGTGCCTCGAACATAGAATATTGGAGTTTCTTGACCAGAATGACCCAAGTTGTGCAGTACAGGTGCTATTAAGCTTGAATTCCTGCAAGGAACACAAAAAGTGAATAAAACAAAAATAAGAGCCGTAATCGGAAAGAGATTTCAAGTTGAACCATGAAAGAAACACTAGATAGATGTCATTATAAGTCTCTTCCACAAGCCTGTTTACAAGGGGTTTCTTGATAAAGATGAATGTGGCAAAGGTCAGATATGCTTACTGGCAATTAGAAAATATACCGGCAAAGGAATTCTTTCTGGTATAAATCCCCTGTGCCTTCTACTTGAGTTCCCAGTGGTGAGAAGCACATCCAAGGTGAAGTTTGATTAGATCTATCAAGAGATAATATCTGATACAACAATACAATTATACATAAATGCATGATATCATTTCTGAAGGCCTGCGTGAGAATCAATCTCTTGGCAGAATGCGTGATCACCGCAAAGTAACTTAGACTAAGATTTTTCGGGTGTCATACTACGTCTAGCCGTTGGGGTCTATTGTTTTCCATAGACCGATATATTTTATAAGTTGGGTGGATATAGGGTGCTATAATGTCTCATGTGTTGAAAAGCACCGAAGACAACATTGTGATCAGTGCAGCCGGTATCAAGACATTGTATATGGCATGAGATATGGAGATAGGCTATGCTATCGAGATGCGACTGTGACGGTTTGATTACGTAGATGAAAGCTGTGGATGTTCTAAGAATGGATAGTCTGTTAAAACGTAAGGCAAGATATCACCCAAATTTAGATGCAAAGAATATACTAATACCTTGCTTTGTGGAATACGCTTAGAAGAAAGCAGGATGAGGCATCTTCAGATTGCCGGTTGGTCAGAGTATGAAGGTCCTGCTCTTGTGCAATATGATTTGATTAGTTTTCATCCAGAGAAAAGGAAGTTCTTGCTTAAACGCGACGTTGAAATTTGGAAAAAGAAATTGGAACAACATGAAGGTGAGCTGGACAAAGTCGTACATGCTCCTATTGTTATGGTCTCCAAAGAAGCGCTCCAGAAAGCAGAGACGCAAAGCTGCAGTCGAGATAATGGCCAGGAAATACCGACTTTAATATTCGGAAAGGGTGAACTGCTATGCTTGGACGGTCAGTCCCGCATCAAAGCGTTCAAGAATTCGAACCGTCTGCGAGGCTGTACTGGATTTGGAATTGTACACATTGTTCTCGATGGTGAGTACCTGTTCATATATCTAGTAAGCTTAAAAGTTGTTAATCAATCACACTCACCAGACATTGTTGGAGCAAAACGCGATGTGCTTTTGAAGGGCTATCTTCACCAGATCACGCCGAACTCTGGCAGGCTTTATCCCGCAATCCGAGGATCGGAAAACTTCGAGAGAAGAGAAAACACAAGGCTTAAGAGCATTCTCAGCGACGGCAAGCAACGGAACCTGAAAGTGCTCTCGAAATGTGACACTCTTTCAGGTGCATTTGACAAGGTGCTACTGTCGTTTCCAGCGATGGCGTACGCTTTACAACTAGGCAGCATCAAAACCTACCACGCAACGCTATGCGAAGTAGTTAGTGTATTCGCTCTCTCATTAGGCAACTTCTGGATTCTGATGTTGAACTAGTCAATCAAGAAATACCTTGTGGATTATGTTTTCGGTTTTTGGAGCGAGGTAGTGGCGCAAACGCAAGCTGAGATGGATGGGTTTGAAATATTACAAACAAGCGACATTCCATCCGAAGTATTCGAGACCTTACAGGGCATGATGCCTGGAGTGTCAGAGGATGAATATGGGGAAATGCACGATTTTTTCTCCCACCCGACAGTCCTCGAAGGATTCAGTGAAGCGTGGCGAATGAGTTTGAAGGAAACTATTCTCCAATCCAAATCCAATTGCATGATTCCATCGATGAAATTGTTTGGGGCGCACATGGTTTTCCTGGAAAATATCTCAATTTGTATGAGGGAACTACTCGAACTCGGAAAAAAGCAAGTGAAGCGCGGTCATGGCTGTTCCACGCCTCTGGAAATGGAGTTGAGACGACTTTACACTGCAGAAATGAACCTCGATGATGAGTATTATATTCAAACCATTAATGGTTGGCGGTCTATACGTGCTCCCTTCGAAGAGCGTCAAGAGTTAAGTTGTCGTCAACTCTGGTTGTTCGTGATGAGAGAGGGGACTCAGGTAGATAAGTGTCATCTCGCCTATACTGCGAAGCGCTTAGGATTTTCCTCGAACCTGATAGAAACACGCGCAGCCGATTATGTGGCTTGTGAGGTGAATCGAGGTGTGATGTTACACCCTTCCAACTGGGCAGACCTTCCGACCGTCACAGTTAAACAGAGACTAGGGCAAAAGGGAAATCGATGGTCCGAGAGGTCAAACAGCGCAAAAAAATATCTATTTTTTGACCTAGCTGAGACAATTGGGACTGAATCAGCGCAAAATGCCCGAAAGCTGAAGGGCGTTACAACGCTAGTAGAATTGGCATGTATATACCGCGCCTTTTTCGGGCATCCTTTTCGTCCGTCTACTTATGCCGAACCCTCACCCACAAGCGAAGTCACCCGTCTCAGCCCTCCCACAGCAAGATATTCTGAAGTCAATTACCCGTCTCTGTCGAGTGTATCACCTCGTGGACAGGATGCTAGTGAAATTGTTTCTCCTCCCGACGATGATTGGCGCGCGCCGAGCCTAGTGATACCTTCTACTCCACTTGAAAAATCAGAAGAATACATTCCAACGGCCAGAGACGCCAGCAAGCCGCCTTCTGTATTTGTTGAGGCCAGTGATGATGATTTTGAAAGCCTTGAAAGTCCTACAAGTGCTTGCTCTGGCCATAAGCAGTGCGGAGTAGGAGAATGTCAATCTTACAGAAGCTCTTCATGCAATCGGGATTGGCGCGAGCCGAGCCTAGTGATACCTTCTACTCCACTTGAAAGATCAGAAGAATACATTCCAACGGCCAGAGACACCAGCAAGCCGCCTTCTGTATTTGTTGAGACCAGTGATGATGATTTTGAAAGCCTTGAAAGTCTTACAAGTGCTTACTCTGGCCATAAGCAGTGCGGAGTAGGAGAATGGCAATTCCATAGAAGCTCTTCATGCAATCGGGAAGTTTCCATGCCGACTCATGTGGGAGGTAACTGTTCTATTCGACATTTGAACTCCATTCCTATTGAGGTTCCGGACCATGCTCAGGAAAGGAACGGTGCATTAGCCTCACTGAGCCTCCTGCCAGCGGCAGAAGGGGATTCTACTGATTCCCAAAATCCACTGGGTATTAGTGACCCAGATTCTAAGCATATTTGGCCGCTGAACTCGGAGGTAGAGACTGAAGGCCGGGTTATAGCTGAAAATACAACGACAAACGGCAGAAATATTCCGAATGACCACCGTGGATGGACGCAGACCATCGTCACTACCAGTCCAACATCTTGGCCCCTTCAGCTTGCACAAATACGGGCCGAACCGGATCAGCCACCTACAGCAGATAAGTCAATAGAAAAGACGACGGATCAAGACAGGCTAACAGCCCAAATAACAGGTGGGCACAGTCTGTGCGCACTAGATAAAGCAGAAGAGGCGGGACAGAGACAGCAAGTGTATCTCCAAGAAAGAAGAGCAGGACGAGAGAGCGAAGAGAAGGAAAATAACGAGGCAACGTGTCAATGGGAGCTGTACGAGAGCATAGAAATGGGAAGTCCCATTTCAGCACCATCACTTGGGGACGATGAGCATTATCGAAATAGCATGAGCCTTTTTGCAGCGGAGCCCTATAGCGAGGACGAGGGGCAAATGAATGATACAGATGTCGTCAATTCTGGAGACCTGGAGTGCGAGTTTGAAGGAACTGAGCCGGATGCCTTACTGTTGCCCAATGCAATAATAACCAGCCCCGTTAGAACGGAAATCAGTTCACCTGTAGTTTCCGTCGGGGAAAAAGGTATATTAGCTCTTGCTGTCGACGAATCTACCATAGATGACTGACACTTCTTTTAGCATTTCCGGGAGAAGATGAGCCAGCAATCACAGGATCTGTACCTCACACTGTCCTTGGGGAGGCAAACGCAACTCATGAAGCGAGGCCGGCCCCGCCAGCGAAGAAGAGACCCTTGACTGCAGAAGGACGGGGCTTCTTACCCGTGAGATCCCAAAGCGCTCCGCCGGGGCAAAAGCAAGCAATTTGCGCAAAATCTCTTGATCTAGCCTCCAATCCCGATCCTGTGGTTTGCAATACCTCCCTAAGAACGCGGTTGCGGCGCCGAGACAGCATGGAAATTCTCCCAACCACGCCGGGACCTGTAGGAAACGAGGGATGGACTCCCGCTCCGGAACGCAAGGAAGACTTCCATAATCCAAAAAATAGTGGGCAGTTCCAAACCAAGACTACAGCTCGGTGTTTACCGCAAGGGCAGGTTGTCCAGGATGGGGCATTACGACCAAGTCAAGTGCCCCAGTCGGGTCGCCAAGTAGATGGGATGGACGCCGTGACCCATTCCAAGTGGCAACAACCATCTGTAGGAGACGCGGAAAACGCAGGTAGTAAATACATCATGACCCCCGTTGATGGTTTGGTCGGGAACTCGCCTAAATTGGCTTCTTTGGACATACATGTTGAAGCCGTCATTCCTACAGCGCCTCAAGCTGCAGAGCAAACACAATTCAACGGTGTACCAGAAGGCAATGGAATGACTACGTGGGCTAGAATGAGGCGTTCGGTCAGTGGGCTTGCAGCTCCAGAAAGCTGGTATCCGGAGGAGCACAATGCTTCTCAGCGAATTTACAGGAGCGATACGAAGCGTCGAAAATCCAGAGCAAGTTATATGAGCAAAAGACCTTGCATCGAAATTTCCGCTGCAGCTCGTTTGAGTAAAACCCCAACCAGGACAATGCTTCCACAAACAAGGACACGAGCCGAAGCCAAAGACTATGAAGTATACGGACCCAAAGCCTTGGCTATGGTTGAGGAGATGGTAAGATTTAGCCAGGGATCAACGGTGCTCCAAAGCGAGAAGAACTCGACCGAGCCCATTTCTCGGCAGGATAGGAACCCTTTGGAGCCTTTGAGAACTAGAGCCATTCGAGAATATAGCGAGAACTCAAAAACCACTCAAGAGACTTACAAGACTCATGGAAAGCGATGGAAATCAAATTTATGGAAATTCAAGACGAACAAAAGGCCCTGCATAGAGGTCACTAGGGGACGGACTGTATTAGGCAAAAAGCATGTGTACGGGCTGCAAGCAAAGGCTGCGACTGAGGAGATGAAAGCGTTTCTCAAGACTTCGAGGGAGCCACAGAGTGAGCGCAGCTCGACCGAGCCCGTTTCTCGGCAACGCAGAGAGCCTTCGAACCCCTCGAGAACTTCCCCTGTTCGAAACTCTGTAGAGACTCCATCGGACTCCACAAGGCCTTACAAGGCTTATGGAAAGCGATGGAAATCGAGATTATCAAAATTCAAGAGGAACAAAAGGCCCTGCATAGAGAACCAAGCGGCGCGGCCGGTGAATGCAACAGCAGCCAGGGCATTTGAACAACCAACGAGACAAATGGAAATGAACCGTCGTCAAGTGTATGGGCTGCAAGAAGAGGCTGCTACTGAGGAGATGAAAGCCTTTCTTAAGAGATCGAGGGCGCCACAGAGTGAGCGCAGTTCGACCGAGCCCGTTTCTCAGCAATGCTCAAACTCTTCAGAAAGCTCGAAGACTGGACCGGCTCTAGAATGTGTTGAGACCCCGTCAGCTTCCTTACAGCCTAACAAGGACCATGGAAAGCGACGGAATCCAGAAATACCGCAATATGAGACGAACAAACGGCTCTGCATAAAGAACCAAGCGGCGCGGCCGGTGAATGCAACAATCGCCAGGGCATTTCGACGACCAATGCGACAAACGGAAATGAACCGTCGTCAAGTGTATGGGCTACAAGCAGAGGCTACTACTGAAATGGTGACTGCATTTCTTCAAAGGTCGAGGCTGTCTCAGAGTGAGCACAATTCGACCGAGCCAGTTTCTCCGCAATTCAGGGCCTGTACAAAGCTGTTGGAAGCCGTACCTGATCCGGAACATGTTGAAAAAGCGAATACATTGCAAAGCAGTCCCAAAAAATCCTCGGACGTCGAGTACATCTTGAATGACCTACCATGCCCGGTGAATTCCGCGCTATCCCCAGCAGCCAACGCTGAAGTAATGGCCTCGTTTTTATTACAAAGAGGGCCAGAATACCCCCCATCGGACCAGCATGAGCACAAGTTCAGCTCAAACGAAGGAGAAATGCAGCATGTATGCTATCGACAAAGAGCTAATGGCGAAAATCAAGCACCATATTGCACCAATGGCAGTCCAGGGGCTCTGTCAAACCGTAAAACCATGATGACTATGAAGACTTCCGAGCTCCCATACCCGGAACTGCTTCATGAAATGCATAACCACGTTACGCACAATCTCCCAATTGTGGACACTGATAACGCTGAACCCCAGTTCTCTCTCCAACGGGCGTTGCCAATGACCTCGCGTTGCAGAGCCAGAGTAAGGATGAGTACGTTTGCCTTCATTGTAGAACTCAATGGTACAGAGGTAAAGCGTGTCAACTGTCGAGCGAAAGACAGTTTCAAACCATTCCTAGTACGGCATTTTTGGCAACGAAGCAAGGCAGGCAATTTCTTCAACAGAAGTCTACGTATCGTTGAGCTAGACCCAAGTAGAACCGGGGCGACTAACATCAACCGGTTCTTCCAGACAGAAGATATATTGGTGTTCCAACACACTCAGCATGACCAAGCTGACCCAACAAGTCTCGTGATGGTGATCAATCGGGCGGTCCAGTCAAAGAAGAAAGAAATGAAACTTTTAGTAACTGCGAAGCATAGACACAACCTCAGGTCCAAGAAACGACGATAACAATGTGAAAGTCGGATACCGATCCTTAGTGAAGCAGTCCTGTCGCTGGGTTCTTGAGAGAACAGATGTACCACTTTCCATGAACCTTCACAATCTTATCGCTCTGAGCTTCCTGATTCGTCGTCGCGGTGTGACTGGAACGACTTGTAGTGTAGACGATGTTTTTGAAATATACAGCGTTAACAAGCAATTTTTAGTTGGCATAACATAGCAAGGACTTAAATCGGGTTGAGCGTTGATTTGATAAAGTCATCGCGAAGTGGTGGCAATGCCGCTAGGCGCTGAGCCACTTACAGTCAAAAAAGGCAAGATTAGGGCTATTAGACAATACTCGTTGTATAACTATAGACCTTCTAATGTACAAACCATGAGGATCAAGAAAACTCACCTCAACTTTTTCTCTTCGAGTCTCAAAAAACTGGCTTCAGTCTCGCTAGGACACTTATATTACTACTTAGACAACAATCCGAGTGGCACCCAAAGCTGGGTGATTGTGTTCATTCCGCTCAAGCTTTCAATATCCCACTTATCGGCCCTGCATCTTCGAAGATGGTCGTAGTGTTATTTTTCACTTATCAAAGCGACTGCTTCAAATCTTACTGAATGTAGAATTTCGGTGACACTCTAAAATACAAGGAGAAAGCTTCGCAAGGTATATCGAAAGGGGTCGAACAAACATAGACAGGAGAAAGAGAAACAGCGGAAACATCAAGTATCGCACATCGCTTTGATCAACAGAGAATGTGAAGCTGGTAGTGGAATCCCCCCTGTCACTTTGGTTGTTGTTACTGATTCTCACAGCGGAAAGATTATCATGCATCATGAAGGGCGCTCTGGGAACATGCGCACGACCTATTTGCCGTCGCGGTTTCACGTTATCCTTCCATGTTAATGGAGGCGACCGCAGCGGATTATTCAACACGAGAGGTTCAGTGAAAGGTATACAAAGGCATCTGGCTTACTGGGAGCTATAGTGGATGACTTTGGAGAACTGTTTGAAGTTCATCCACGAAGATTTGGATCTGGAGATGGTATTCTTTCGATGTCTTTGGGACCCTTCTAGCGCTACCAGTCATCGCTCCGGGATCAAACGTTAGTTTGAATCATTCTCGCCTAGAACCCATCCGTTGCCCAAGCTGACAGGCTTGTGCGCTATTCCTTTAGTTTTTGGCATTCTCGACCAGCGATTAAATCGGTTATCAGGAGAACAATCAAACGGCCTGGATGCTTTGAAGGGCACATGCTCCCCTGGAGATGTACACAGCACCCATATACAGAATTTTATGCTATGTACCCCATTTTCTCCGTTCAAGGCCTTTCTGAAAACTGTAGCTCATTGCTCAAAAAAGTGCTGTCCAGCCGTCTTCAAGCAGTGCGAGACCTAGTACAGTCGCTGCGCCTTCTGCGTGAGGCATTAAAGCCTGGAAACCCAGAACGGGTACTAAGAAAGAGAAAAAGGACTATGTAAATTTTCACGCTGTAAATCTATACTACCCTTCTTGAGGCTCAGACTGTCCGAGTCATGAACATCATCGCAATAACTCTCCGACCGCACAGACTAGCTCCGTTAGTAAATGGTATGAGCGTGACCCTCATCCGTCCGTCCCCTTGCTGAGTTCTTGTCCCATCATCATTCCAACAAGAAAGCTTATGAGCCGAGCGGAAGCGAATCGTCATGGACTGAACCGAGGGTACCTGCTGTGGGCTATCTCGAGGTTTACATATCCTACGGGGGGTCCTTCTCTCAAGTCCATGCAGAACAGAAGCAACAGCTAGGGAGCTTTGATACCTTCTGGATCTTCCGATATGGTCGGTCTCTGGCCCCGAAAGCTTATACTGTGACCAGATGAAATGATGCAGCATTAGAAGAACCACCAAGAGTATTATTCGTCGCGTTGCCCTGTATGCATTCTCGGACCGCAAGGCAGTTGACGACATACTCTTGATATTGAAACCATCATTCTCATGGCGTTTGCAATGAGATCTGCCAACTAACTCAATTTACCGCTCCAAGCTAATGCCAAATCATTCAAAACCGTCCAATGTTACGGAATAATAAGAGTCTCTAGGAGTGAAGTGCCCGTGCTTTGCAAGCCAAGCTCACTTCATTCTGTCATTCACAACTAAATATAAAATACAGAACAATAAATTCAAATGTGCACTGAGCAATGTATTTGAACGTTCCTTGAACCCATGTAGACGCAGGGAAAATTGATGAGCAAGGATGGAGCTAGACTTAGTTATGGACACATATTTTGGAAACATGGTCCGTAAATGGTAAATGAAAGCCTATACCTATCGCAATTAGTCATAGCTACACAGACCAGAGCAACAAAATAAAGGTTTTCAGTCATTGTAAACAGGTGGCTGTTGTGCTGAAACATGAGCTTCGTCCATCATTATGTTGCAAGTATTGATAACCAAATTATCACGTTGACCTGCTAGTTGGAGAGTACTCTCTTGTGTGAAGCTTCAGTGCTAGTGAATTATGATTTGGAAATAGCTAGAACTGCCGTAATTACTTCGCTTCTCTAGAGTCATATCTTTGTGGTTTCACGGATCAGTAATGCCGTGTAGTCTGCCATTTGAAACCTTGCGTGACTGATACATAAAGGCCGTCGGTGTAGGTTCCCGCATTTATCACACCTCAAATATGAGTTTCAAGAACCACCCACCCATACAGTGGGACCTCTTCAATTCCAAATAATTCAGCGGACAAAAAGACTTAGTTTCAACCGGCAGACGCTAGAATTGATCCAACTATGACCATTCTTGCTTTCGACACAACATTAGCTCCGTCAAGAGATCTAGATGAGCATGTTCAGATAGAAATAAATCTTTTCATAGTCGATGGAATAAAACGTCGCTAAGGCGGTGGTAGAGTCTCAGCAAAGCAAACGGGTTTTTAGGAGATGAATATTTCTTTCGCCATCATTGAAATTGACACTATTGCCACGAAATATGCGAATCTATTTGTATTTGGAAATATACAAATAAACTGCCCCACCTATTCGCACCCGGCTTTCACTTCTCTATAATTGGATCGGAGACAGACTAAAAGAATCCCATGAATCATATGATAAAAAATGACAAGGAACGACGATCTGACTCTTCGTGGGGGATGATTTCACCGCGGCCATCCGTCTCCTCGCTATATTTGAAGAAAAAGATCAACAAGTCCCCAAATCAAAATACCTTTCGACGCCTGCTCCACCAGTATCGAGGTCAACTTCAAAATGCAACTTGCGTGGTTGGAAGAAGCTACAAATTTACAGAAAGCGTCATGGAGATCAATCAACGTGCATCTTTCCGTAACCGTTTCCCGCCCCAACCACTCGTAACGAAGATACTTTGGAAGAAGCGCCAAATTAATTCTACCTAATGGCGTCAAACGATGGTAAAAAAGATCGCAAGAATATTATCAATATCTCGTTATATGCCCTTTCCAGTTTGAATGAAAATTACTATCAGCTCTAGGCATTTCTCGGCGTGGTATCTATTACATCATGGAATGCTTTTATTATAATTTGACTCAATCGTGTTGTCCTTTATTTACGCGTCTTCTAAAGTACTTTCACTATGAGCGGTGAGGGTGGGAAGCGGTTGCAGAGGGATGCACGTTAACTATTGAAGTAGCTATATCCCACGTGGTCGATTGTGACCAACTCTCTTTCGTTTGGCATAAGGGGCTCCCGAGTGCGTTGATTATAGCTAACGTTAGATTTAAAACGTACTATGTTTCCAAATAGGCCCGTTCCCTTTCAAATTATAGCTAGTTCTTGTCTGAAGAAGTAATCTAATAAATGGTAATATGAGATCCAATCTATATCGTACTGTCCATCGGGATTAGCCCCTGATTGATTCATGCTGGCTGACCCGCAGATCTGGGCCGGGAGGAAAGCTTTGACGAGGGGGTGGATATAATGGTCCCCTAGGACGGTGTGGCGGAAAACACCGACGCATTGGATGGCTACGGAGAAGGGGGCATGAGAATGTTGTGTGGACCCGATGATGCGGGCCTCTGGTTGCGCATGGGCCAGGGGCTACTGTAATGACGTCTATGTTAGCTTTTCTTATGCTCATCGTGTATGCGTCCGTGGATTCTCTTCGTAGAGGATAAAATCGATTTGAAATCAAGGAGAGGTGCCTAGATGTTGGAGTGCATCAACTCTCGAGCAATGGTTAGCTCCATCTCTTCGGCGAAAACCCATATAGTACTGAGAAGATTCTGAATCCCAGACTCTTGTTACATCATGTCACACAATATCTCACAATTATTGGATAAACGGTTGAATAAACGGTTGAGTATTTAAAGGTGAGTAAAAAGTCTCACACCATGCTGTTGATAGTTTTATCCTTTCACATTCAAAATGGGAGACCTACTTTTTTCCGAAGACAAAGTCGCTTTTACGATTGAAGTAAGTATAGACATAATTCATTCACCTAGAGTTAGCCTTGGGCTTACAAGAGCAGGTGATAATTGGAGAGAAAAAAAGTCAGAGAAAGGCTTGATCTTTGTACGTCGACTTTATTCGTCACAGTCCTTAGCTAACGGAATCATCCTATGTGAAGGAAATAATCGGGGGCTCTATTGAGCCGGAGGGAGGCTTCTTCCCCCGGTGGTTGAGATCCAACTCAATTCGCGGAGAGGATGAAGCGACATTGGCTGAAGGCAAATTGCTACTCAATGTCTCCGCTACAGCAATGTAAGCTATGAGGGACTAGAGTTTTCAATTGAGTTCGCGTGGTTGGGCTACGCTGACACAAATGGCAGGGTCAAGGATGGGGACAATAACGAGGATAGGGAGGTATGATACGAGTCGAAACGGCCTTGGCGCAAAATTGCTGACTTGAGTTAGATTTCTTTGAGCTGGAATGGCATTGTTGCGATTGATGAGCACGTAAGAAGCATTTTGGAAGGTACATTTCCAGAGGAAAAGGAAACCGAATTCGGCAACCCTAGTAAGTGTGTGCTTCGAGGTGATGCATACGTATCGCTGACATCGTTTTTTAGCTGCGAACTTCAAGTTCCAAGATGAGGACCTCAAAGATCGTGTTTTTGTTGGCACTGGCCAATTTGTCACGACATCGGGACAACTCAGCATCAGATATAAGGTCTCAGAACAAATCGATCTTTCCATTCCATCTCGATTGGACTAGAAGCATTTTTTAGGAATGAAGGGATTTTCAAAGCTACAGCACAGTATCATCTAGTATTCCTCGGAGGAGATACCAAGTTATATTTGTCTAAATATCACATACCATAGCTATTGATCACTGCGACCCTGATTTGGTTTCGCATTGACGGTGTATAGACAAGCGATATCTGTACCGTTGTCAAGCAATATTTCGATTATTTTACTATCACTCTGCTCTGCCGTAGTTTACAGGAGTTGTTTTTTCTAGTATACCCTACGATGAAGGCAGGAACGGGCAGAGCTTCAAGAATAAATTCAATTATCTCTACAAACCCATTCGGCGATGCCCACTGTATGTTGTCTGGCCATTTGCGTAGCATCTCGAGAGTACCTCGTTCGCAGGCCCACGTCAAATCACGTCTCGGTGATTCCCGAAGAAATGGCTCGGGGTCTTAGTGTGGATAGCGTTTTGGCGGGCGATGCATCCTGCTCCCTTTTTGTTTAATGGAACACCTTGGCCAGCAAGAATAGATTCCCAGATGACTAATTTGAAGCTGCCAGACCTCACCTACGAATCTATCTTTGATTAAGAGAAACAGAGGTAGTTTATATCCACCATGAGGTCGACGGAGTTTTATGAAAGCTACGACGAATGATATCAAAGCCCTTGCTAAGTAGTAGAGTAACAGTAGACCTCTTCAAATCCCATGGAACTAGACTTGACCTAATCCCAAATCCCAGTGCACCTCCCTGCCATGAGAGTGGGGTATGCTCCCATGGGGATTCCCCAATTTCCCGCCAAGACCTATATTTGCATAAATAACACGGCCCCCTTATCTGGTAAGAGCTTGTCTGTGTCCGATTATCGCGCTCCTTTCCTACTTGTTCAGTGTGCCTAGCCTACACCGGATTTCAATCAGTGCACTGGACGGCTTTATTTACGCCCGGCTCGCCATCTTCTTCTTCACCTACACGCCATACATCAACTCTTTTGCTTACAGCACAATATACGCGATCTCTATTCCGCTGGCTGCAACTCTAAGCGTTCATTAAAGTCGAGTGCCTGGCGCGTCTTTGGTTTTCATTTTTGCCGTTGCATTTGTTACAAAACTCAATGCGTGGATGACCCACCAATCATGTCGTTTAAGAGAGTAAGTGTGCAGAGTCATCTTCAAAACCTTATCTTCAACAAAGTCTGACAAGACGGAACAGGCATAAAGCGTCAAAGAGCATCCAGCGCACACCAAAGCACTAGTGCTGGTACTTTTGAAACTCAGGTTTGCTGAATTGGAAGAACTACGGGAAGTCGAGAAACTCAAAGAATTAGAGGGGGTAGTGTGTGATGATTATATTACAGCGTGAGACTGTTGGACTATGGTATCAGTAAATAGCGAGAAAGAGTCAAGGCTTCTTTGTTGATACCAGAATGAGAATGCAGCAAACAGGGGTTGTTCCGCCGATAACTAGTGACGTGTGCATCCCGTTGTCGAATTTGGAAAAGACATCATGAAGATTTTAGAATTTGAACACTCATTACGCTTCTGGACTTGAATGGCTTTCTGATTTGAGTGTTCCCAGTTACAGAATAAGGGACATATTGAAATGGGATAGCGCGATGGCAGTCTGGTCAAAACAGACGGGTCGACAATAGCAGTAGGAGCATAGGCAAACCCGACAAGAGGTAGAGCTATAGGAAAGGAGAGCACATAAGGATGGTCTGAAGAGAAGAATGTGTCTGTCTTGTTCTACGTAGAGTAGAGAGGTCTTAAATACATCATGAATGCTGAATCATCCATAGACCGCTACTTCATGCAGTAAGCAATTCCCCCACTACAATATATATTTATTTGCCTTCTCGCGGGACGCAAATTTTACGAGCAAGACTTTCAACATATTAGGACGACATCTACCTTCAATACGAATATTGGATAATTGATTCCATTCTTTTAAACTTCCTGTACAACCGCTTGATAAACTGTGCTGTGGTATCTTGGTCTGTTTCAATGAAACAACTCTTGAGTGTTGCCTGATGATTGTAGAGCTTTTGGTAGATCTTTCCAGATTCGATGTAGCATTTAAGGAAACATCCATTGTCCATTGTATCGGATTTTGAAGTTAGTTCTCAAGGAGGCTTTTCATATTCAAGAGAGACAAACTGTCTGCATCATGGTTTTCGCATATCCATCCTGATAAAGCGAATAACGTTCTCTGGCGGCTAGTCCGGTCTTAAGTCAACATTCTCACTTATATTCAGCCGAGTTCGCAAGCCCGGTTGGTAGTAAGGCCATACTACCAATCATCACTATAATGAAAAGATGTTCGAGTCCTGGACAATAGGAGATATGATATAGTTACCCAAGAAGTGGGATACTGTATGCAATGTGTAGGCCAGCTATCGCAGGAAGACATCACGGTTAGCCAGCCCAATAGCTGACCAGTCCTGTATCTTAGAGGACCAAATCTCAAATTGGGGTAGCGGGACTCTGAAATGTCCGATCGCCTTGCCCCGATGCTTGCACAACTGATAAAGATGAACTCCTCCACAATCATGAAATCAGCTTACGTGGCTTGTCTTATCTTACGAGTGACGACGTGCGGACAGACTGGCGTAAGGTGATCGTGACAAATATCTTAAAAAAGAAGAACGAAGGGAGGCATGTCGCTACCCAGAAGCAAGCCGGCCCTGTAGCCCGAAATAGATGTTTCTATATTAAACACAAGGGCCAACTGCGACAACGTTTCGTATATAGACCAATTTCTCTGCCCAAAAGAATGATTACCACACTGACCAGAATGGGGAAAGTCCCTCGTAAGATCATCCATATTATCAATGCCAGAGACAGAACTGTCACATTTAAGAAAAGACATGATGGTGTGATGAAAAAGATACACGAGTTGAGTATACTTTGCAATCAAGATACATTTCTTTTCGTTCGGGACCGTGAGACCCAAAGGGTTCGAATGTTCTCATCAAGCAAAGAACAATTTATACCCCATTACGCAAATATCAAACAAGAGGACCGCAAAGGTCCCAGTGATATGCAACGTCACTATAACAAAACGAGGAAACCAGCCGCGCCAAATATCATGCCGCCCCTTCCGCGAAGAAATGAGACCCAGAGGCAATTTTATTCATCGCTACTCCAACAAGGTCGCGCTTGTCACAGGATACTGGAGGGCATATTATCACTTCGGTTCCAATAGCGGACCGAAACGGCTCCCCGCGCCCCATCTTTCCTGTCACACCCTGCAATTAAATAAGCATCATTTTTTGTACATATAAAGGTATTGCCAAGCATATAGAGGCGGGTTCACGCCGGCCCACATTGTGTGTTTGTGTATACTGTATACTGCCCGTCGCACATTTAGCTCAAGTTTTTGTTGAACCTTTACCGCATTTCATCTGCATGTAGCACTCATCAGATAGAGCAGTGACTGAATATTTAAATTGTAGACTCCATAGTCAGGCAGTCAAATCCTGACAATTGCGCAAGCGAGCAGGAAATAGACGCTGGTACCCTTTTTTGATGATTAACTAGCTACATTGCATCCAAGAGGTCTTGTTACTGCTGTGATGTCTATTTCTCTGAGTCGGGTTCATCAAGCAACTGCCGGTTAGGGCTGGTAATATCACGTGTGTCGACTTCTTCAAGGATCCAAAGCGTGCTAAATCTATGCAAAAAAAATCCATGCAAAAAAATCTATGCAAGGAATCCATTAAAGTCCCACGACCTAGACGGTCTCAAGACCAAGATTTCTAGTCCTACGACCTAGGTGGTCCCAATACCAATATTTCTAGTCTCAAGACCAATATTTCTCAAGTCCCACGACCTGGGTGGTCTCAAGACCAAGATTTCTAATTTTAACCGCCCACAGGATAGTGGGCCTTGGGACTGATTTAGACTAAAATCCAGAAACCAGGAATCCAAGTGTATTTAAGTCATAATAGGCATTGAGATGGAAACAAACGGAAAAGCAAAGGCAGGCATGGCACGCTGGAAGATCTATTTCAACAATACTCTGGTCCGTGATTGGACGTCGCACAAAAGTCTGCAAACCCCCCAAAGAATCTACAGTGTATGCAATGAATGCCGTGCCACTCAGTGAGCCGAACATTTGCTGACACGTGCCTCCAGAATGACAAACACGCTCGGAATGTACTCACCCTAATCCCGTACCACCTTGGTGAACAGCGTGGTAAAAGAAGACGACGGAGGTCTATCTAGAATAATGCCTAGGGCTGGTTCATTCAAGTGGACTGGTTTGCCACCCAAGAAATGTCAGGGGGACATAGCTCTGCTAAAGCTTATTTTTTTTTTCAAACAATTGAAGATCGCTCTATTCAAAGATTCTCGTGTATTCATTGACATCACGTATCATTGCTTGACTGCTATTCCCCCTTGTCGCCAGATGACCCATCTCTATGAACTCACCACCGGATCGAGCAATGTTCCGGCCGATTTCTCCATCATCTTCGCTCTGGCTCTTCCTTGTCCATCTTGACTAGGAGTTGACTAGGAACAAACTAGGGACGAGGAGGGGCCGGGGGGAGACGCATGGGTGAGATGGGCGATATCATCGGCCCCAATTTTCTTTCTCCTATTACGGTCAAGATGATATTATGTAGTATGGATCACATAGGCGCAACTTACTGAGAAATTTCTGAAGGTGGGAGAAGTTGCGGGGAGGGACGTGGTTTCCGGGGTTGGATTGACTGGAGGAGGGACTGGGAGGAATCCTCATGCTTTCTGCGGTTGGTTGCCTGGCGTCACAGTATAGGGCACTAGACCCTCGATGAAGAAGATCGAGACTCTTTTGTAAAGCTCCCACGCTTCCTTGCAGAACCTTGGAGTTCTCCTCCCACTTTTCTGCTCTAAACCTGAGCTGCTCGATCTCGGCGTTCAGTCGCCGGACTTGGTCCTCCAAGTCTCTTCTAACATGCCGTTGCTTCTCAAGTTCCCTGGTTTGTTCTTCAATCGTTTCCTGCTCCCGGATTCTTTCCTTTTTTTGCCTCTGTCGAAA